TGATAAAACTCGCTTATCCCCCAAGCGCCGCAATCAATGGCGCGGTTGGGTTACCCACGTCCGTATTGATGGGAATCCCGGAATAAGGGGAACACGATCTCTGCTTCGACAAGACGTGCCAAGGAAACCGCCTCGCTAAATGCGTTGAGGTGAACAACAAAAACTATTCGAGTAAAGGCTTGGAAGTGGTGTGACGTCACGCCACAGAATACGTCAGCAGATTGATCTTGTGTAATATTATTCTCTCTACGGTGGTATGTGGAATTTATTTTTGCAGAGCCGGACACTATCCTGGTGTTCACAATCTTCTATGAATTATTCGGAGGAGGAACCCGCCTTGCAATATGCGCGCTGGACTCGTCGTCATTGAAGCCTGGTTCAGGGGCTACTGAGGGAGTTCCGGACTAGGGGGTGTCCGGATAGCCGAACTATCATCATCGGCCGGACTCCAAGACTATGAAGATACAAGATTGAAGACTTCGTCCCGTGTCCGGATGGGACTTTCCTTGGCGTGGAAGGCAAGCTTGGCGATACAGATATGTAGATCTCCTACTTTGTAACCGACTCTGTGTAACCCTACCCCTCTCCGGTGTCTATATAAACCGGATGGCCCTAGTCCATAGGACGAACAACAATCATGCCATAGGCTAGCTTCTAGGGTTTAGCCTCCTTGATCTCGTGGTAGATCTACTCTTGTAACCCACATTATCAATATTAATCAAGCAGGACATAGGGTTTTACCTCCATCAAGAGGGCCCGAACCTGGGTAAAAACTCGTGTCCCTCGTCTCCTGTTACCATCCGCCTAGACGCACAGTTCGGGACCCCCTACCCAAGATCCGCCGGTTTTGACACCGACACAAGGCATTCCTCTGGTGTCCGGGAGTTGCATAATCTCATAGTCAGAGGAATATGTATTTGACATGAAGAAAGCAATAGCAATAAAACTGAACGATCATTATGCTAAGCTGACGGATGGGTCTTGTCCATCACATCATTCCACTAATAATTTGATCCCGTTCATCAAATAACAACTCATGTCCATGACTAGGAAACTTAACCATCTTTGATCAACGAGCTAGTCTAGTAGAGGCATACTTGGGACACGGTGTTTTGTCTATGTATTCACACATGTATCAAGTTTCCGGTTAATACAATTCTAGCATAAATAATAAACATTTATCATGAATAAAAAATATAAAATAACAACTTTGTTATTGCCTCTAGGGTATATTTCCTTCACATAGCATGCTAGGAGTGGAAATGTAAAGGCAATATCAGTTGACAATAATCACGTTATGCAGGGGATAGGTAATGAAGACCAACTATAACATCGATATTCTAATGCAAGCAATGTGGACGAAAGCACTATGATGTTTCAGAATGGCGGATGTTTTTCTTGCCTGGACTCCATGATTGGTACATCCGCAGACCTTTGTCGTAGCTCACATCATCTCCGAGTCCTATCCGTGAAGAAGCAAAACACTAGAAGGATCCAGTCAACATATGCATCTTATAACTACGGGAAAGATCCATCGTGCTCACGGAATGCAATGCATGCCATGACATGGGTGATGTGCAAGTTAACTTAATGCAACATGAATCGAGTTAAATAGAGCTAACATGCAGAAGGTAAAGCATCTTAAAGAAAGAAATTGATACATGCTTTAAAACCACTGCAATTTTAGTTGATGCAAACACGTATGAAAGTTGCGTAAATCGAATGTAGGGATTATTCTGATTAAGATGGCATACTGGATCATACTTTATTACCTAGGAAGAAAATATATGAATTGTGTCATTTATATAATGCAATTTAAATGTATGCATCATTTTAGAATGTCAAACATGAATGCAAATTACAAATTCATGACATACAATTTTCTGAACAAGTTTCATATATAACATTTCAAATTTGGAGCTATCAGCTATGGATTAAAATATGGGGCATATTCAGGTCAAAGGCCCATTGCATGAACTGTCTTGAGCGTGGGCGGGGACTGATGTAGACGACCGAGTTGTGCAGTAGTACGACAGTTGCATCTTCACCTGCCAGGCCGACATATGCATCGGCGTCGGCGCCCCTAGTGCCCTCCCAGACCCTGGTCCCTATCCCAAGGTGCTGCCCTTCTTTAGGAGGTGGTGGGTAGCTGGCCGCCAAGCTATTTTCTCCTTGCTTCTTTGGACGCTGTAGTGCGTGTTGCGGGTCACCGAGTTGATCTTGCGGGCGGCCACCACCTTTTGTTCCTCCTCCTCAGGCTCTAACAACACTACGAATAGGTCCATGCAACGGCGGACGGCAAAAAGAGAGGGAACAGGGCGGACAGCGACGACGATCGGCTAGAGAGGGTGGGAATGTGCAGGCTTTGGCTTGAAAACAGTATGAATGTGGCGAAATGCTTGTGCTCCGGGAGTTTCGATAGATTTGGGTTGTCCTAGTCCTATATATGACGAAGGTCTCTACTCCCGCAAACTCCCCAAACTTGACATCTAGGTGGGGTTTTGGATAGACTGGAGTTGTCGGAGTCTTATGTGATGAAGGTCCATTCAAAAAAAAAGGAGGATAGACCCCGAGAAAAGCAATTCTCCCATGCACGGGAGGTCCCGTGCATGGGAGAGCCCTCGATTTGCTTTGAGATCGGGAAACATGCATAGGTACTTAAAATTGACGCTGTTTCTTATACCACATGCAAGGGCACTGTCCAGCAACCTTACGCTCCACTATTTCATACTTTTTCATCGTATTCCTGAGTTTAAATCTATTCTGTCTTTTGTCCCAAAAGTCTTAGTTATAATTTGTTTACATGTTTTTGTTTATGATGACTTGGACTTTAAAACGAGACCACTTTTGAATATATATTTAGATAAGTTTTAATATACAAATTTTCAAACATGGTGATTCAGTTGTCAAAATAATAATTTCTAAAAATATATTCAATCTCGGTCTTGTTTTAAAGATCTTGTCAGAAGAAACTCGATTTTACAAAAATAATGTAAGTCAAACTTTTAGTTCAAAATATATTAGACATATATTTATCTGAATGAAAACTACATCAGTAGGGAATAATATTTGATTGCATATTATACTAGGAGAGGGAAAACACTATGCATATGATGTCAGAGATTCGATACATCATAAATAAAAAAATGATGGATGCATGCACGTTGTATAGACCCCCGCCTATGCATCCGAACGATGCATGCGATCATTTTATTAATTATTTACAGAGGCCATACAAAGTAATATATCAGTCAGCCTAAAGCCACCATCTAGACAACACCTGTTACTGCTCCTATCCCATTGATGAAGGTGTGCCAAATATCCGGGCCTAATACCAAACGAACATCGCACAAAACCCTAACATCTAAAGCCAGATGCCCCAGCCCAGCCACACACCGGGACTGGGTCCCATACCGGTCCGACGCACTCTCGAGGCTGCTGGACCATCTTCCACAAGTCCATCTCCAGAGCAGAAACTGACCCATCGACGTTGCCTGGCATGCCGTCGACGCCACCACGATGCCAGACAACTCCACCATCTTGCACGTATCCGTCCACATGTGAACGTCGCCGAACCTCCGCAGCACCATGCCACCGGGATTTGCCATCCGTCTTGTGGTGGATGAGACACCGCTCTTCCGCTTGTCCCGTCCAACCAACACTTGCTCCAAAACAATGCCCTCATGAGGGACAACGGCTACAAAGGTACCATCATCGTCCGATCCGTTAGATCCAGATCTAGGGTTTTCCCCGGAGCATCACGAGTGGGGTGCCACGACCTGCAACAACGATGCCTCGAGAACGGAACGACGCCATAGACGCCGCCATGAACGAAGTTGGCGGGATTTTCACCGGAAGTTGCACCCCCCAACCTCTTAGCTGGCTGAAACCGAACGGAGCCTCGCTATGGAGACGAGGGCCGCTGTCGGCACGTCGGCAGGGAGCCTCCAGCCGCCCCTCGCTGGTCCTCCTCGCGCCACTGGCCGGCCAAGGCTGTACCGAGACGGATCTGGATAAGACGCCAGATCCGCAGCCATTGGAACCACCCATGCGTCCGCGGCCGCCACACCGCCGGCCATGTAGGTTCCCATCGCCACCGCGCAGCAGGAGCACTGCCCTGACTGCCGCCCCCGACCTCTCGTGTGAGGCACCACCTCCGCCTCACAGGATCTGCCGCGGCGGTGCAGGGTCGCGGCCCTCGCCGGCGGCAGCGGGGCTGGGGAGGGAGGAGTGGAGAGGGGCTGGAGGCGCGGGATCGGGGCCCCTTGGCACGGCCCGAGGGGAGGCAAATCTCCCCAACTCGGTCTGAAACGCTTACAAGCATTTTGCAACACATCGTTGGAGATGCCCTCACATGCAAGAAACTAAACATCACTGTTCTTCGAGCCTTCAATTTCAGCTCCCCGCAAGAAAAGAAAAAAGCCTTCAATTTCAGCACGCGTCTGCTCCTGTGGTTACATCAGGAATCGTCAGCGGAGAGTATATCATGTTGCCACAGGCTAGATGGATGAGTTTGTCCATGAGTTTGGCTGGTGGGGCCTAATGAGTTTAAATCAACTGTAAAGTAAAGCGTACTGTTCTCAAGTACAAGTAGTATATAAAAATTCTGCTGCTAATGAATCGCTCAGCAGCTCACATTTGCTCCAAGGAATCTCCTCGAAACTCTGATGTTCCACTGCACAAACCCAGTTGGGGACAGAGCAGAGAGCATCACAGATAAGTTCAATGGAAGGATGGGCACGGTAAGAGCAGCGAACATAACACGGTTAACACACCAACATATAGATACTAAGATCAACTTCAGGTCACATACCATACAGAACATGGAACTAACATCACACAGACGTGCAGATCGCTAGCACAACCTAAGTGGGCAAGTCCTAGACTAGACGGCAAAAGTAACTGAGAACTGCTCCACCGTTCTTGACCGGAACACAACATACTAGCTAACTAGCCATCAACGAAACCAACCGGTGTGCAGCGTCACCCATGGAGCTCTATCACCAGCCGTCGGTGAGATGCACCGTGACCGAGACGCTGTCGTAGGAGTCCCAGTAGGAGTCTGGGACGAACAGGAACCCTTTGGCATGGAAATCCTTCAGCCGCCGGACGAAGGGCGCGGCCCCGGAGCTCCACAGCACGGGCGCGTCCGGGTCGCTCCGCCTCTTCACCTCCATCTTGTACTTCACGCCGGCGTTCCCCGTGGGGCGAGGTCCCATGCAGACGAGCGACAGCGAGCGCCCGCACAGGACGTCGCCGCCGTTAAGCAGGAGGAAGACGCTGGCCCCATCGCGGTGCAGGAGCACGCGGAAGGGCGTCTTCTTCTCCAGCGTGACGTCCAAGCGCTGGCTGCCGCCGCGCACGATCACGGCGGACGGGGCGTGGCGGTCGCGTATGTGGGTGTACACCTCCAGGCCTTGGTAGGTGCAGCCGTCGAACGGGCAGTGGTACGGCGCGAACGGGCACACCTTCTCGTGGCTCCTCCTCCCGGAGTAGCTGACGATCTCCTTGCAGCCGTAGGTCACATAGGCGCAGGGCCTGGTCATGGCCGCCAGGATCTTCTCCAGCGGCCGGCACCGGATGTCGCCGATGGGGTCGGTGCAGAAGCAGAGCCGGTCCATGCGGATGCAGCAGGTTCCGCATGCAGGATGCCCATTCTTGCACTTGAACCAAGACAGAGAAAATGCTACTTGAGGTTCTGGCACACGCAGATGGAAATACACGTACTGGCACTAACCATGAAGATCTGGTCGTCAAAAGGTTCGAAGCAGATCTCGCATCCCAATCCGTCCGCCTCCACGGTGTATTCTTGGCTTGTTCCTCCTCGAGGCATGTTGGAAGCATTGGTGGATTCTTCTTCTTGGGGCACATTTGGCGGCGGCGTCCTCGCCTTCTTCGCGCTCTGCGTCTCCATCCCTGTATCAAGTTTGCAAATAATCGAGGAAAGAAATTAGTGAGATTCATCCATTCACTTTATATTCCCAGTTCCATAATAACGGAAATCAACTACTAAACGAGGATCTGGGTAAGAAACAGAGATGCATATGCAAGAATCCAGGAGCACAAAAATAGCACATGTAGAGGCTGCAGAGCAGAACCCAGCAACGGCGACAAAAAGGCTCACTTGGGTACAAGAATAGTGCCCCAGGGCTGAATGCCGACATTAAAAAGGTGAAGGAAAGATGCAGCTAGCGGAGGCAATGCTCACCTGCGCGCGAGCTGCTTAACCTCGAGGACTAGTAGCAGTAGAGACAATGGGATTTGAGGCTTTTGGGGAGGAGAACCAGCTGGAGATTGTTAGAGAGCAGAGTCCGTGAGATAGAGCAGAGCAAAAGAGTGACACGTGCACTGGTGGTGCCCGGCGTGAGCGTGAGAAGTCCAATGGACTGGAGGGAGCACCGGTTCACCTCGAGGGTTGCTCGCAGCTCAGAGAAAAATTAATGACACTGTAGGTGTTGTCATGTCAGTCAAGTCGGGAACAGTTGAGTGACTCGAGAAGTCGAGAGGGCGGGCTTGGGCAGAAAACAATAATCCTAAGAGCATCTCCAGCCGTTGTGCCCCCACGAGGCGTTTTTTCGGCCTCCTGGGGACGCACCGACGGATTTTTTGCATCCGGGACAAGAAATTTTCCAGCCGCCCCTCTCCCGACCGACGAACGCACTGCGCACGAGCCCACGAGGTCGACCGCCGCCGCTCCGTCCTCATGCCCCGCGTGCCCTGTGAGGAACCCGGCGAGCGTGGACGCGGGCGTGACTCGTGGGGTGACCATGGAGAACACGACGCCCGCGCACGGTGGGGGGCGATGTTGCTTGCCGGTGAACCCCGACAGCGGAGGCAACTTGAGGCTGGGGCAGCTTGCCGGTGACTCGCAAACAGGCGAAGGCGCGGACGCGCATGGATGGAGGCGAGGCCCGGCGCCGCACACCGTCTCCCGCACCGTCTTGTAGTCGCACCCGGCGCCGCACACCGTCGCGTCCGCGGGGAGCCCCTTGGGCACGCCGAGCGCGTCCACGTCGCCTCCCGAGGCCGCGGGCGAAGGCTAGTACCCGTCGCGCTCCGTCTGCGGCGGCACCCAGACGGACGTGTCGTCGCCGTACCGCTTCAGCGCGGCGAGCATGGAGATGTAGTTGCTGTTAACGGTGATGGTGTCGTTGAGGTATGCCATGGCGTCGTAGATGGTCCGGGAGAAGTTGACGTACTTGTAGGCGGGCCAGCAGTCGTAGAGGTGGAGGAGCGAGGCAGAGGCGGGCATAAGCGCCGACGGCGAGGGTGGCGGCGCGAGGCAGTTCTAGGAGAGGGAGAGGGTGGTGAGGCAGTTGGTGGCGGTGGTGGTGAGGTTGACGTTCTTGGAGGAGGCGAGGATGGAGCGTGCGGTGGAGACGGCCGGCGGGAGGCGAGGGCGAAGGGGAGGTGGAGGAGAAGGAGGAGGGCGAGGAGGCGAAGGGGAGGAGGCATGGCTGATGCTGGAATCCGGCGCCGAAATGAGCTCTTCGAGCACGAGCGGCGGCCTCGCCACCGCGCCGCCATGGCTCCCCATCTGGCCATGTGCGCTCCGCTCCGCGAGCCCCTCCCCGCCCAGTCCATGCGGGCTCCGCTCCGCAAGCCCCGGCCATGCTCATGTCCGGCCGCGCGAGCGCGAGCCCTGCCCCGGCCATGCGTGCGACGCCACGGCTGCGCGAGCCCCGCTCCGGCTGTGTGTGGTAGGTGGTGCCGTGGTGGAAGGAAGAGGAGAGGAGAGAGGAGAAAGAAAAGAGAGAAAGGAGAGGAGAGATGAGAGAGAGGGGAGAAAGACGGGCTGGCAAGTGGGCCGTTGCATGCGAAAAAGAGATGCCAGCATTCCCAGCTGCCTCCCAGGGGACTGGATTTGGAATGGGCGTGCCGGCCATAACTTTCGTCAAAACCGGCGCAAAACTGGTTCCTGGGACCCCGAGTGGGTCGTTTTTTACTCGCTGGCGTCTAAAAATAAGCTTGGGAAGGCTTCTTGAGGGCCTGGCTGGAGATGCTCGGCTGGAGATGCTCTAAGAGCATCTCCAGCCGTTGCCCCTCAGGAGGCGCCTAAAATCGCCGCCTGGGGGTGAGCCGGCATAAAAAACCGGCCTGGGGCGAGTTGGTTCCCAGGGCCGCCCCCCGGCGCTTCTAATTGTTTTAGAAAAACGTTCGGCGATGTTCGATTAAACATGGCTAAATTCAACCAAACTTCGGTGAGTTCATACATATTTAAAATATTTTACAAAAAATAAAAATAAAACGCTACTAGGCCCGCCGTCGCCCTCGCCGCCCGCCACACTTGAAGCCCTACATGCCGAGGAGCCTATAGAACTGCGTGTAGTCGCCGCCGTCGTTGTCGTCGTCGCCTCCTCCGCGGCCGCCGTGCCTGCTGCTCCCCTTCCCAGGTTGGACGGTCCGGGGGCGTCCTCGTCCTCGTCGCTGTCGAGGATCACCACGCCGTGCTCGTCCTCGCACCCACGCCTGCAGGCGGCTATCTCCTCCAGGGCTCGGCGCTGCCGGACCATCTCGTCGCAGAGGTAGTCGTCCCACGCCCACTTTAGGGCCTCCTCATCGGAGAAGTCACGCCGGTCTATGGCCTCGTACTCCGCGACAAGGCCGGGCTCCGCCTTCGGCCTGACGAGGACGAGGCGTCCAGAGGTGGGGGAGGAGTCAGTGACGCGGATACCGGAGCTGCGGGTGCGGTGGCTGAGCGGCGTGTCCTGGGGCTCCGGATTGATGGGGCGGAGGCAGGCAGAGCCGGTCGAGCTAGCGACCGGACGAGGAGGAGGACGCCCCTGGTAGGCAGGCCACCTGGTCCGGGGGCATGGGTGTTTCCGGTTGAGACCGAGAGGGGAGGCCACCCCTTAGAGCGCGCGATATAAATTTGATCCCATAATACGCGAGGTTGTAGCCTCCCCACTTAGAGTTTGCTTGACAAGTGTCATGGGTGATTCCAGACACGTGTGAGTTAAGCTTGTGTGTGCAAGTTAGGTGTGTCTTCAACAAAAAGACCGTAGACGGAATTAGTCCCGATGGACTAAAGGAATCCGTTACTCGTGGGTAAAGAGTGCACCCTCTGCAGAGATTAAACCTATTCGAGTAGCCGTGTCCATGGTTAAGGATTACAGTCTGGGATGGGTCAAGTGTCGGTCTTAGTGTCGGTCTTCGGAGGTGAATATGCTAAACCAGGACTGGAATCACAACTTATGACTTGTGATAATTATGATTATTATTATTGTTGACTAACCCATGATATTATTGTTACTATCGAGTATCCCTGGGATGGTTCTACCTCCGGGATATTCACTATGATTGTTTCTTTTAAAGCCCTTTATGTGGTGTCGCTCAGACGCCCGACTGTGGCATTTCTTTTAAAGCCCTTTATGTGGTGTCGTTCAGACGCCCGACTGTGGCATTTATTTTAAAGCCCTTTATGTGGTGTCGCTCAGACGCCCGACTGTGGCATTTATTTTAAAGCCCTTTATGCGGTGTCGCTCAGACGC